AAAACAGTAATTTATATAATAATTAAATATTACAATTACAGTTTTTCATGTAGAATTTTATTCTTTTTCAAATGTGCATTTTAATTATAATAATTAATGATAAATTTAAAAATTTTTATCAAGAGTAAAGTTCACTTTGAAATTCATAAAAGTCTGCAAAAAAAGATTACTCTTTTGTTGCAATTTTTGCTTTATGCTTTTTGGTTGTATACGCGTTCTTGTAAATGTTCCAATCATGTTAACTATTTATGTTACACCTAATCGTCTAAAAATAGCTTTTTTTGTTTTTTTTATTTTTTAAATGATAAATTTTAATAGGGATTGGCGTTTCTAGTTCAGTTGGCAACAACTGAGCTCTTATTGTGGGTTATACTGCAATAGCCACAAGTTCAAGTCTCAGCCGAGGCATAAAACTAGATAATTTTCATAAGAATTTTATATGTAACTGAATATGTAGGCGTATATACTAATATGTGTTAGAAACTGGTCAATCAATCTGTTGATCGATGTTGATCATGCCTAAATACTGAGTTTTGAAGAACAAGTGGATGCAAATGAAATCAGGGATCGACAGAAACTTGGCCTTCGCTGATAGGCCTATAATGGGTACTGTCTCACGTCTTCAAATTCAGGGTTCTTACACAAGTAAGGAAGTGATTAACCAGTAATTAGTAGATTAGATACTACCTATGGGTGGCTAGATTGATAATAGACTGCATTGCACTGCCGTAACATCCTCCAATCGAGCTGTCATTAGGGGTAGAGATCAGGTTCAATTCCTGGGTGAATTTGACGATATTGGTACGACAGCCACCTACCTTTCTGAGGTTCTATAAGATATAATGTCTAAGCCTTCCCGATCATGTGTAAAAATACCCTGATACCAGGCAGAGGTAATAGTGATCTAGATATGGTGTTGGTAAGCACAGGGAAAAACTGACAAAGTACTTGTGGCTGAAAGTGATCCCTCTATCCAAATTTGACAGTGGTTCTGAGGTCTAGGTACCCTGAGGGCTAGCTCTTGGGGATGTCGACCTAGTTGGCTATCTTCAGACCAGTATACAGGGCTAGTTCTGGCTAGAACATAGGTATCTAGTAACAACCTATAGGGAGACTTAGGATATGGCTAAATACCTTAAATATCCGCTTATATGACCCCTTGTACCGGTACTGCAACTTAAAATAAAAAAAAAAATATTTTTTAAATGATAAAAAAAAAATGCCCAAAAAAACTGAAAGAAAGAAAATCAACTGAGGTCGCTCTGCATCGCCAATATCTGACAAGTTATCAAAAAAGAAACAAAATACACTGCAAACTTCAGATAACGACCTTTCTCTTACTTATGTAAAGAAACCTCTTACTACTGTCCTTCCAGAAGAGACCAGTACTATAGAAGTCGACCCAATCAAAGAAAGTTCGTCTAATAACCTCGATAAAGGAAAAAGTCCTGAAATTATTTCTTCAACTTCTACAACCTCTGAAACTATTGCGCTTAAACCAACAATTAGTGTCGACGAGTCATTTGACGCGTCAGAAAATATCTTAGATACTTCAACCATCGGCTTTGATGCTCCTTCGACCTAAGTTAATAAATTTTTCTCGTACATTCCAATGGAAAAACTCCGTAACCTGAACCCCTAAATGAAGATCTTGAAGATCACCAATTTGTGCTATGATAAATACAACTCATTTATCATTGCCACAAAAGAAAACATTCTACCGAACACAATCAGGCTATTATTAAAGTTGCCTTTTTAGACAAGATCGCACGTGATGAATTTTGTAAATACAAATCTCCAGATATGGATGATACCATGTTTCAACCCTTCGATATAAAAAAATCTACACCCTATATATCCAATCTGTCGATCTTGATCACAGAGATCCCACTAGATGCCACAGAAACAAGATTACGCAAATTGTTTTCCAAATTTGGTAACATCGTTCAGTTCACAATGAAAACAAAAAATCTTTGGCAAAGAGCCACCATCACCTTTGATGAAAAGGTAAATTTCAATGAACTAAAAAAAGGAGACGGGATTTATCTTTTGAATGACATGATTCGCTATCACCCTTGTAGCCTTTCTAGGACTACTGTTCAAGCTCGCTTTGCCTTTTCAGCAAAACTTACAAATCTTCCTCGAAACATCACACCACGTGACCTCCATAATATTGGAAATATGGTCTCAGCTACTGCATGGATTATTCTTAGAGCCCGTTCGAATTATAATTACTTACAACATGCCTTCTTTTACTTTTTCAACAAAGAAGATGTTCAAGCTGCAATGGATATTAAAAATCTGACTCTAAACAACAAAAAATTAGAATGGACTGACCCTAAAGTCAAACTTTGTGCAATCTGCTCATCTGCACATTACAACGCTTCTACCTGCCCTAGACGTCATCAATCTCCCAAGGACCGTAACATGCAAAATCTTTACCAGCGATTCCAACCAGCGCAATTCAATAATTACACAACACCAAAACGTAGTTCTATACGAGGCGCTGTTCATGAAATTATCACATTTGCTCACGTGACCAAAACCCCACAGCAAATCGTTAATTCTCAAGAAGAACCAAAAAGGAGACCTTTTTCACCTCCACCACCTAAAACAAAACAAAATAATAATAATAATAATAATAATAATAATAATACCTCTTCCCATAACTCTCATAATGGAAAACCAAGATTGCAATGGGCAGACGAACCATTTGATGAGTTCATGGAAACTGAAGTTTTCCCTTCACCAAATTTAGATAATGGTACAGCAAGAGGTGGTTCGATTCATGATCCAGATTTCAAACAATTTGTCACATCTCAACTCACCTCCATTTCCAACACCCTCTCTGACCTTTGTATTGAATTTAAATTTTCACAATAACGTCTTGCTGTAGTAGAGAAAGCCCTTCATATTCAAGTCATCACTTCTGATAAGACGGATGACTTTAATAATAACTTACCTGATTCTGCCACTGAAGCTGATCAAAAAACCCTGCACATAAACACCGATCTCTACATCGCTCATTTACAAAAGTAATCAAATGAACAGCTAATTCTTATCTGTCATAAACAACAACAATGAATTTCTCAATTCACTTCTGTACTTAACAAATTATTTAGATCCTGCCATGATCTCCAATTTACACTCCTTAACAAAAATATTCTCAACAAACTTGATACACAAATTTTCGAATCATTGACTGATGATTTTGACAAAGCTATTGAACGCTGCATCGGCAGCTTTCCAAATTAATTTTTTTTTTTTATGATTACTGTCCCTACAATGAATGATACTACTACTTCTAGTTCTCACACTCCTTCTATACCAAATCTTAGGATCGCCACTCATAACGTCCGTTCTTTTAATGATCCAACAAAACAAAATTACCTCTTTTCTTTATATTCAGTAAATCAATTTGACATTATAGGCCTACAAGAAACAAATTTCAAAGGAATATCGTCCATTTTTAATAGCCTTGATTATTTCTTCTATTATTATTATTCATATTCATCTGTTGTATTTGTTACATTAAAGTGGCAATAGCATTATTTAAGTCATTCATCTGAGTTGAAGCAACCTTTGGAGGAGCGAACTAATTCATGTAAGCCTCAACAGCAGCAGTATCCTTATATATAAGTTCATATTGTTTGGCTTAATCTAAAGCATTTCGCGACTTCCCAAATTACACTACCTTTTTTAGCAACAACCAAAATTCCCGATCAATTGGAACTAGTGTTAGCATCTCTTTTAGCCCCTTTATCGCTAAACACATATTCGCCCATGACTCTATGTTAGATAGAATTATTTATGCAAAACTTCAATTTGCAAACAAACAGAAATTAATGATTATTAACTGTTATATTCCATCTACCAACCCCCTACAGATATCACAAAACAAACCATTGTTCTTTTAAAACGATTACTAGATCAGAGATTTAAATGCTGATATAGATTACGTTAACAACTCGTCTTTTAACCTAAATTTCGTTAATTCCCTTCACAACTACGACTTTTATGATGCATTCAATGTCCAATTTAAAGATGACCGCACTTTATACCCATCCTGTATTAATAAGAATTCTTCATTCAGGATTGACTATATCTTTATAACACCTGAATTAGCACTTAATATACTCGACTGTGAGATAGTACAAACGGACTCTTCCATATCAGACCATCATATTGTATCAACAAAAATTATTAACTTCTTAAAACACTCAACGTTCACAAGGAAAAGTCCTGTCAAAACTTCCTTCAATTTTAATTTGATGAACGATTCGAAATGGTCCAAATTCAGAGACAACTTGGAAAATAATTTGAATTCCAATGTGTTGAAACATCTTTCACCCGATACCGTCTGGTCCCAAAGTCTTCTTAATTCTTCTTAGGACCTCTTTCAAGACACTCTCATCTCTATGGCAAAAAAATGTATTCCAATTTACAAGTCAAAGAATTATCACTCTTCAAAAAAACCTGTCGCCCTGTCAAAGATCTACAATGATATTAAATTACTCCATCATTTCGATAAATCTACAAAAAAATGTCTGACAGATCCCATTATACACGATAGATGGAATAACCTTTACTCACAATTTTTACAGCTTGTTCACGCGAATAGTTTGAATACGATTCCATTAAACTGTCCTTCTTATGTGACTATGCTTAATACTATCCTTTCAGATATTAAACTTCTTCTAGCTAGCCTAAAAATAAAAGCGGAACTACGTGAACATAATTTCAAGCTTAAGAGTATTCAAGATGCTTTGGAAGCCTGTGTAGAAGACTATAAATACAACCCATCTCAGATGATTAACTCAGTCCTTAATCGCAGAAAAATGACCATCGTATTGGATAGATGTATTGATAATTCGTTTCCATATCATCATTTACTTTTTGAAGATCAGGATGTAAAAAACAAAGTTGCTAGACATTTCTAACAGGTTGCAGGCACCACACATTGTACTAAAACGATATCAGAGGAATGGATCTCTACATACACCCCATTAGACTCAATCGACTCCAGCATTTACAGTAATTTGATGTCTTTACCTTCTGCGGATGAATGGTACAGGATCATTGATTAACTTCCAAACAATAAAGCCCCAGGCCCCTCAAAATCTCAAATGAAATGCTAAAACATTTAGGACTAATCGCAAAGAAACGTCTATGGTACATTATTTGTAGCTATCTGCAAATTTCATCAATACCTCATCGATGGAATCTGGCATATGTATACCTGATCCCCAAATCAAAACTGTGGGAATATGACTTAAATAACACCCGACCAATAACCCTACTAGAAAGCGCTTGAAAAGCTTTTGTTCGACTATTAAACACACGGCTTGCCGACATCTTTGTTCAACACAACATCTTCAAAGGATATAACTTTGCAGGTCTGCCCTTCAAATCCACCTTTGATCCCATACAACTTTTTGATAATATTAAACAGAACGCTGTTTATAATAACACAGAATTATGGGTTCTGTTACAAGATATGTCTAAAGCATACGATCATGTGAATGTTTTCACTCTTGCTGCGGCTTTAGCAAGATTACGACTTCCTTATACATCACTCAAACAATATTGAGACTCTTTCTTCCAAGATTTAACCAAGTCTTCACAGCTCATGGCAATTCTGATACATATCTGGTACATTAAGGAATAGATCAAGGTGAAGTTATATCACCATTTTTATGGTGTATATACTACAATCCACTATTATGCGCTATTAACAACTTCCAATACGGCTTTGTCACAGAAGTCGATTGGCGTCCTGATGCCCATCTTCCCTTTACTAATAACTCTCGTCTCAAGATACCAGCACTTGCTTACATGGATGACACCTTCTGGCTTGCCAAATCCAGAGAAGATCTCACAAATATTACATCTATTGCCAACAGCTTCTTCGATCTTAATGATATACAAGTGAATTGGTCAAAATCAGAACTGTTAATCAACACTTTCCAACAGAATCCTTTTGAAATCAATCATAGTAACACTACTTGGTCGATCAATGCACTATCCCCTAAAGCTAGTATTCGTTACTTTTTTGTTTGGATTTCACTTAAGTCTAACAAGAGTTTTATTTATAATCAGATACACAGTGAAATAAAAAAAGCCATTACCATTATGAAGCATAAACGCCTTACAGACTCACAATTGATTTATATCTTTAATACCATTCTCTTTTCGAAAATCGAGTATAAATCTCAACTGACCTTGCCGTCTGAATCACAATGCATAAGCCTTATCACTACCTACATCGCCTTTGTCAAAAGAAAACTCAAACTCTTCAGACGTATCCCAACGGATTTGTTCCATTCACATTACTTCTACAATCTGACATCCCTATATCAAAGATTAATACAGAACTTCAGTAATGCTCTTTTACAAATGTCTAATGAAATAAACATACTTGGAAGATCCTTTTATCTACGTACTCTTCAACTTCAACAAAAGAAATGGCTCTTTGAGAATCCTCTGATTTATTGGCCATACATGAAATCAACACGAACTGATGATTGGCTCCCATCCCTTCTTTGTGACCTTAATTCTATGAAACTCAGACTTAATATACCTTTA